ATGGCGATGGCGCGGCCGGGCGCTGAGCTGCTGGTGCTGCTGTGCGCCCTGGCGGCGGTGCGGGCGCCCGCCGGCCCCGCCTACCCTGCGGGTACCACCGCCAAGCGGAGTGAGTCAAGCTTTTTCCTTTTTACCCTTCAGGCTGGCAATGTCAGTTCTTTTGTTTTTCATCATACGAGTGAGTGAGTATTTCTGCCTCCGGGGTTGTCATCTACGTGGGTGATTACTCCTGTAAGTGTAGTGCATGTTATATCCTGGGAGGCGATGGAGTTCTCCTCCCGCTGCAACGTGAGATCCGGGGCCGTCATACATGGCAGCTTGCGGGTTTTTCCCCGCCAGATATCTCCCCAGCAGGAAACCATTCGCGTCAGAGCAATCTCTAAGCCCCCAACTGTTATACCGTTCTATACGTTACCGTAGTGCATTTAAGTGTGTATGTGTACGTGTAGGTACAAGGATGAGGAAGGTATAAGATCGTGCGCGGTCCGTGACCCTTTTTTTAGAGTACTGCTCCGGCATACACCTGGTAATGATCAGAGAAACAATAGAAAACTGTCGATCAGAGCAGCAGGTGGTTAGAATTCAATAAAATCAATATTAACAAATCGTCTTTGACAAAATAACGACCATTTGAATTCATACAACGCGTTACTTCTGTTCGTCATGGGAGAAAAATTATATGAGCGAAAGTGAAACATGCGCACGAAATTTAACATGTATGCGTATCAAAATCGTACATCCTTGTTTTTCAATGTATTTGTCGACATGCGTAGAATTTGAACTTTTTACATTATAGTCAGAAGAAGCAGATTTTTTCCTGTTAAGAGACAAAATTGAGAATTATTTTTCACAATTCCTGAACACGTTTAATTCAAATACACGCAAACATTCTCCAACTCAATGTATGAATTAAAAAAACTTTAACAAGACCTTCACTAGAGCTGTAATTGATAAAAATGCGCGTTATTTGCTTTGAAGAGTGCGGACTATTTGTTTTTTGGTAAAAAGATCTGGACACACGAAATTCTTATCCTATGTGATATTCACTTTCCAAGAGTGTGCATGTGTTATTTCATTACCAAGGAAGACTCTCATCGGAAAAGGATACTCTGCATATACTCGTACACTGACCGCGTGGAGTACATAAATGCGTAATCGAACGGAAAAGGGCCTTGAGGCCGTACCCTAACAGTCCCCTTTCTGCTTGCCAGCTGCATATCGAGTGAGTTGTCAATGCAAGTCACAATATCATTTTTCATTACTTATTTTACTTATTCGTTGAAATTAAAGGAAGATGCGTTGGTTGAGTAGTTTCCGATTACTGAACAATGCAAGCCCATGAGTTCTCACTAAACCTTGACTCAAAGTGAAGCTTCAACACAGAATCCTCAGAACAGAGGTATCAGAGGACTGCTCTGTTATCTGATTTCGGCGTTTGAGGACTGCTCCAAGTTTTTCAGACGTCTCTTCACCCCTCTTCGTGAAAGTCATTAAAACAATTTTCTTCGGGGGAATAATGTTGTCATCATGATGGAAGATGGAAGATGGAAGATGCAAGATGGATATTTCTTCCAAGATGATCGTCATTGATTAGTCGTGCGCAGTTGGGCGATTTGAAGGTAACATTGGAAGTAGTGTAATATTCAAATGGTGACGGTGTGTATCAGAGTCAGAGGATGTGTAGTAGGTGAAAACTTGTCAGAAATAATACAGGCGACTCGTGGTCGAAATAATAGGTGATAGATGGAATGCTTCTATATCGTTCATGTAAAACAATCTCCAGGCATCATATTAAAATATTATTAGCCAATTCAGACAAAAATCGTTTAGGGCACTACTAGGAAATTTCTGAAATGATACATTGACAAAAATTACAAATATTAACTACTATCCACATTTAATTTAGGAATTTTCGGATTAATTTGATCCTTTGTTTGCAGTGAATAATTTCTATGAGGTTGTGCTCGTTGCTTCCCTGAATCTTCTCACCGGGATGTTGGAAAAGAAAACATCTGTTCAGCAGAGAAAGCTAGTTATTCATCGTAGCTTTGAAACGCTCCCTTGATATACACAGCCGAGGCTAAACAAACATGCCGTTTCCATGGCAACCATTGACTTTTAGTGAAGATTTTCACGCGGCGCCTCACTCCCGGGGGAACTGGGCCCAGGCAGTTTGGAGAGATCAGGAACCTAGAGGAACCCGTGCATTTCAACAGCACGAAGAAAAATTCACTGTTTTGAGCAAGTAAGGAAACCAAAATAAAGTCAATAAAGAAACGTGAAACATGATAAAAGAGCTGAATGTACACAGTATTTATTTCCCACAACCAGGTCACAACGGACCAGATTTCACTATCAGTCTAAAAGATCAAAACTACACTAAAAAAGATGAAAGATATTATTTATCATTGTAAATAAAGGAAAAACATTACTTACGCATTTTCTCAATCGAAATCAGTTTGGTCGTTCCTACCGATTAATTAAAAAAATATGCTATAGTCGTAGTTTTGATTGCTCAACAATTTAGTCATTGTAGACTACGAACAATGCCGTTCAATAACTTAAAGAACGGAAAGTGGAGACTATAAAGTCGACTTTTCACGGTGGAAGAAGCATTCCTTAATGACAGTGACTGAAGTGTCTACAAATCAAGAACAAATCTCGTATCAAGGACCAATCGGCATCACCTCCCCTCAATCACGAACCGAAGTAGCTGTGCGTGTGTCATTTACACCGTATCTTCTTAAGAAGCGTAATGGAGCCGTACTGTGGCGTGAAGAACCGTACTCAGGAAGCGCGGCAACCCTTTCGTGTCGGCTGTATCGCTCTTCACGAGCAATGCAGCATGCCGCCATCCGGAATGGCGTTTCTCAAGTACCAGTCGTACACGTAAGGAAATCGAGAATCATCGCAACGCAGCGCAGCGATTGCCAGTGTGCGACTCACCACGCCTGTGGGGAAGGGGCATAGACCTCGGTGGGCGGGCCGGGGAGCTATGGTCGCAACTGGGGAAAATATCTTCCTTGAATGAAATTCACGAATATAATTTTGTAGAATATGGTTTTCTGTAGATCGCCGATTTATTGGTTTCATGTGATCATATCCGGACGGACGCAGGAGAAATACTTCAAACAACGAATCATTGATTGCACGCCACTCTTCCTTTCCCTTTATCTTAATGTAGAACTTCATAAGAGTATTAAAAGTTCAATTTTTATATTTGTCGGAGGTTGAACATTATATATTCACGTTAGGTCATATTCTATTCCTGGAAAACAATTCATTTTGATAGTACTAGAACAAGTGACCTTATATATTCAGAAGGACACGTTTTTAGTACCTACATGAACATTCCTAAAGGAATAAAGGTGTACGAGTAATGATAATTGACCTCGGTGGGCGGGCCGGGGAGCTATGGTCACAACTGGGGAAAAGCGGACAAAAATAACATCCTTGAATGAAATTCACGGATATAATTTTGTAGAATATGGTTTTCTGTAGATCGC